ATATTTTTTAACTACTTCTACTAATTAATTTTAAGATTAAAGTCTAAAATATTCATTACAATTTAGTTTCAACTGCGCATATTCAAAACAAAGAGACATTGAAAGACACAAGCTTATTCTCATCCTCACAATAATGCCATAAAAATAAATAATTTTCCATCTGAAAAAATAAGGAAAATTGTAAGGGGAAAACAATTTGATGGAAAAAAATAAATTCAACTTTTAGTAGTAGCTAGTTTTTTGGAGTACCTGGGACGAACTACTTTAGATCGAAAAGCTAGGATTTGTGTAAAATTTACTTGCGAATTCTATTGTTCTACCAATTTTTCCCCCACAAGGTTGTTATCCCCCTCGTGGAAAAATAAATTTTATGCTCGAAAATATTTCAAAAAAAAAAAAATTCCATAAATCTCAAGTGCACTCATAAATAATAAGAACAAAAAAAAATCTCGACATGAAAAACATTGTTTACCATCATCAAATTGATGATCATAATAATTTCAGGATGTAGGTAGTAAATGGCAATTGTGCTCACATCTTCCTATTATTCTTCTCACTTCAAAATTTATTATACACACAGTGCCGCGGTAAAAATTATATCCAATTTAACGGTAAATAATTTGCTATTCATGAATTTCTTGCTCGCTGCTTTCAATTGTATTCTATATACTTTTTTGTGTGCCTGCCTCCTCCCACTTTAATAAAAAGAATTTCTTTGATTTGCAATGTTTTTATTATAATTTTATAATAAATAATAATAAATGAATTTTAATAAATTTCACCGTCATCGTAAATATTGGGATTATTACTTCTTATTATTGAATTTACGCGAAGAAAAATTTACTTTAGTCGATTGTGATTGATCATTTAATAATGAGTATTATTATGTTTTTGAACTATTACTTATCAAGCTGTTTGCGGATATTTATTGCATTTAGAAAACTTTTGAGGTGAATATTGGAATTAGTGTGTGAAATTTATTGATGATTGTTGAGTTCTTGAGATGCAGTTGGTTTAGTTTGTAATTTAAAGTTTTAGGGGCCTGTTTCAAGGACTACACGATTTATGATTTCAACAAATTTTCACAACATATCACCCTTGGTTAGAATCCGCAAGGGAAAGAAAGTCCAGGAGCTCCAAAAGTCACTTGGCGCAGAACAGTGATGTAAGAATGTCAGCTTAATATACAGACAGAGATATTGTACAAACTAGGTGACAAAGCCAGCAATAGAGTCAGATGGAAAGCATTTTGTTGTAACCTAAGCTAATAATAGGATCATGTTACCTAAGCTCCGTATAGGAACATGGTTACAGTAGCAGTACCTAGCAGAAATTTACTAGTAATTTACTGGATAATTTTCCATTTGCTACTTGCTATTTACTAGTCAAAATCCAACTTCAAATCTTCGCCAAAGAAATTTGTAAAAAATTTCTTTTGATTTTGAAACACTGATGAACGCCCATGACTCGCATGCAAACCTGAGGAAGATAAATAATTAATTGAAATCCACATACTAATTTGGATCAAGCTTTTAAAGTTGATTTCTGCGCGCTCTTGTGAAGTATATGGCAAATGCCAAATTTAGAACAAAATTTTTTATGACGCATAAAATTCTTTTATTGATGATTTTTCGTAGGATTCGAACTTAAGCAGATTTGATCAAACATTTCTCATGGTAATTTGCTAGTAATTTGCTATTAAAAAACAAGTGTAATTTACTTACAGTAAGTTGTTTTAATAATAACTAGTAAATTGCAAGTAGTAGAATAGAAAGATTAGCAATTTGCTAGCTAGTCTCGCTAAGGAGTATATCGACGTGACTGCTCCATAATCCCTAGTAACCAAAATGTTCCATATAATCTTCCTTCGACGTCGATGGAAGATCAAATGTATCATTATTTATTATATGTAAAATATTTGTTTTACAAACATGTAACAAAAGTGTTCCATCGAAGTACTACCCGAGCCTGCTTAGGATCAAATCCTATGAGAAATCATCAAAAAAAATATTTTTTTGCAGGAAAATAATATTTGTTCTAAATTTGGCATTTGCCATATACTTCACAATTGCTCGAAGAAATCACTATTATAAGGTCTCTCTAAATTTGTATGGGGCTTTCAATTAATTATTTATCTTCCTCAGGTTTGTGTGCGAGTCTTGGGCGTTCATCAGTATGCGACTTCATTAAATTAAGTCCTTTTTGTTCTTTTTCGTAGTGTTAGTGTACTTTAATTAAGTACACACTAATACTTTTACAATAATTTACACAAATAAATGAAAACTACAAAAGAACACGTGGAATTTAGCACGTGTTTTTATGCAAAAAAAGTAATCCATTTATTTTCCATTTGTATTCCTTTGATGTATTACATTGATGTCTTATTGCATTGTCCATTTATCTTCCATTTTCATAGGACATCAGCTTCCGATGGATAATACATGGATAATACATATGTATCATCCATGGAAGATTCTCATGGAATACATTGATCTACCTTTTGGTTACTAGGGATGGCTGCTAAACTTGCTAAGTTGTTAAACAGAGCTAAAATCTCTAAATATCTCCTATTATCTAAGCTAGTTCTCAACACAAAAGTCAAAAGAACACAAAATAATAATTGTCGTTGACAGAAACGACAGCTTTTATTGTAATTATTATCAGATATAGGAAACTTAACTAATTCATGCATTTTAAGAATAATTCCTTAATTTCTACATTAAATCTACTATTTAGAATAACTGTTAATTGATTAAACTATCCTAAAACTAATGATTAATTATATTATACAATTTGTTATTTACATATCATTTGTAACGTCTGCACTCGATTCAAATTACTCGTTACAATTACTCATATGCACCTGAAAATTCAGGCGCAGTAACGTAGATTCTTTCATTTACTTTTAAGTCGTGAACGAGTGTAGAACGCTACAAATTTCTTAAAAATCCGTAACATGTAAGACAATATAAGTTAAATAAATTAAACTATTACAACAATCAAAATTTACGGATTAAATAAAAATTATTAAACTACACTCAATCACAAATAATAATATTCTAAGTGTAGAAAATTGCAAAGACAACAATCCAAACAGAATGCAAGAAAACAAGAAAAAAATTCCTCATAAATTAGAGTCAATATTAATTCATTATCATGATAATATTACAAATAAAATTTCCACACATTGTTTATCCTTTCCATTTTGCATTCATCTTATAAACTGCATTTAATGCATACTACTTATGGATTTATAAATAAACTTAAAAATGTTAAATGGCGAGGAAGAAGGAATAAAAAGAAGAAGAAGAAGAAAATAATAAAAATGCCTTATTTTCTATCACTTAATGCAGCAACAAAAGGCATACTTTTTATGTTTTTTTCAATAAACAATTTGATTTATTAATGCTCTGAATGCTTGTTGTTATTATTATATTATTATTTTAACCTACGCTATGTGTTCATATTATAAAAGAATGGAACGAATAACGAAAAAAAAAGATTGAATTTTCTTGTTTTCCCAACCGTAAATGGGAAAAAATTTATGTACACCACGAGGCAGGCAAAGGCAAAAGAAATGCAATTTAAATTATGAGCCAAAAGTTATAAGCATGAAAGCTTGTTGAATTTCTTTTCTGTATACAATAATTTTCAAGTAAATGTTTGTGTAAGTTTGTGCTTCTCTTTCTCTTGTGTGCGACGGCTTCAACCAATAGTAACGACTAACCACGCCTCAAACTTGTATATAATAATCAAAATACCAACATTATGCTGAGCCAGCACATGAAACATAAATATTTACACAATCACATGGAAATGAATGCCATTGTTGTTACGTAACGAATTGCCAATGAACGTTACGAAGAGAAATTATTGTCGTTGTGTTTGGTGTTAGGATGGCGCAAAAGTGAGAGAAGCAAAAATATACACAGAAATAACAAATAAATCACTGTTTACATTTTTTTACACAGAAAACTAAACAACTCGCTCACAAGCAGTTGTCGTTGTGTGGATTTATTTTTTTCTGTTGTCTGAGAATTGAATTAATAAAAAAATAAAGTAGAGAAAAAAAAGCTTACACGAGAGTTCCGCCCTAAATGTTTGTTCAGAAGGAATTTTTATTGAAAGCGCGCGGGTCGCTCTTTTTTTTGTTGCTTGCTTGCTGGCTGCTTCTCGAGATTTTTGAGAAAAAAAGAGCACAAAACGCGAGCAGAAAAAATTAATAATATAAAAAAAAAAATCAGGAGAATGGAAGTAAAAAGCAGAGCACAACAACAAGCAAAAAAAAATCCCAACATGCAATTCAAAATTTCAACACCTTTTGTTGATTTGATAAAATAGTCTCGACAAACAATCGCATCTCGAACGACATGGATATTGCTTTTATGCGAGATTTTATTTTTTTCGGTGACTTTTTGAGTTTTGTGAAACGATTATTAATGAAAAATATTTTAAAAGTGAAATAAAAAAATTGAATAACGGAATGGTTTGCAAAATTTGTAATGCAAAATACTATTCAAGAAAACGGACAATCATAAGCAGTGGAAAGTATTATTAACAAGAAAACAGTGCATATAATAAGTAAAAGAACCGCTAATAAGCATGAACGATTGAATAAATTTGATAGAATAAATGAACTAGAAATGATTTAATAGTGTAAAATACAGAACAGAAGATAGTGAGAAAGAAAGTCAGATGTTTGAGAAAGATAATAAGATGTTTGAAAAATAAGGAAAATTGGAAGTTTGTTCAAATTTGACGGAAGATTTTACAAAATCAAAGAAGTTTTGACAATTAATATTAATTTATGACTATTAGGACTGTGAAAAATTAAAAAAAAAACTTTTTCAAATGCAAAAAAATGAACTTTATCTATTGAAAAAGAATATTTAAATGGTGAACTTAGTTAATTAAAAATCTGCAAAAAAATAACTTAGAATTTTACAAACTTGCAAATGATTCAAATTTCATTGTAAATTTCAGCTTTAAAATTCAATCGAAAAAACTATAATAAATTATGCAAAATTGACTACAAAAATCAAGTTCAAAAATCATCTAATTTTGATTACAAATATCCAGCATCTAAATCTTCTGAAACATCAAACAACATATTGCCTGCCTTACAAAACACATAAAAAAGATTGCAACAACTTATCACAGCAGACGGTACCCAAATATAGAAAAGAACTACAAACACATTTGAAAGTTACGAAACATTAAAATTAAATTGTATGAAAAAAATGAAAAAGAAGAAACTCAGTTGCATGTCCAACAATAGAGAATATAAATTAAAATCAATTAATTAAAGTCCAAAACTTGTGTGCATAAGACGAATAATATAAAAATCAATTTTAACTATAAATAGGAGTAAATATTTACTATTGCAATAGAAAAGAAACAAAAAAGAAAAATGCCACGTCCATCGCGTGAACAATGCGAGCAGAAACCTCCCTATTCATATATAAGTCTCACAGCGATGGCCATTTGGAGTAGTCCGGAAAAAATGTTACCACTTAGTGATATTTATAAATTCATAACGGATCGATTTGCTTACTATCGAAAGAACACGCAACGATGGCAGAATTCACTTCGTCATAATTTAAGTTTCAATGATTGCTTCATTAAAGTCCCGAGACGACCCGATCGACCGGGTAAGGGAGCATATTGGACATTGCATCCGCAAGCATTTGATATGTTTGAGAATGGAAGTCTGTTAAGGAGGAGACGAAGATTTAAATTGAAGAAGAACGATAAGGATTTACTGAATGAGGAGTTGGCAGCTCTTGCCAACATTAATCGATTTTTCCTTGCTCAACAACAAGGCATTCCAATTAATGAGACTAGTTATTATCAACCACTTCCGCCAACAACAGATTTACCGACAATACCTCAACATACATCACCGTTAGTCAATTCACCGTTGATGATTAGCCCAAAATCACCAACGCCATCGCCAAAAAGTCGAATAAGTAGCAAAAAGCATGACAAACAGAAAAAGATATTCACAATAGAGAGTCTATTGAGAAAGTCAGATAATAATCATACAATAAATGATGACAGCATTGATGTTGTTGACGATAACGAAATTACAATGTTAACACCCAATTCAACCTCATCGCCATTGTCACAGACATCGACTACACTGCTGCCAATAATGATGAAACCCACATTGCCTCCGGCATCAAGTCTACCAGGTGCAATTCCCTTCCTACAATATCCGCATGCGACAGCTGCCCTTCAACAAATCGGATATGACCTACCCATTCATCCATTATTAATGATGAATCCTCTATTACCGTATCATGGCTATTATCATCCATCAACAAATCCACATCAATTGCAGAATAATTTGCGATTGGCTTAAAGGAAATTGTAAGAAAAACTTTAAAATTGCATTGTATAGAATTGACGTTGTGTCCTCAAGGCTGTTAAAAAATTATTTTCCTTATTATTATAAATATATTCTGTAATAACTTTATAATCTAGTGTCGCTAGTAATGTGTACAATATGATAATAGTGAAGAATATGAAGTTCATTTATTGTGGACGTTGGATGTTGATTGAACAAGACTTGAAATTTTAGAAGTAGAACGTAGCCACTCTTAGTGTAAAGCTACATTAGGGTTTACTTACTAAGTGTGAACATTGGATGGTTAAAACTTTATTCTATGAGATCTTAATGATAATATTTTGATTTTTTTCGATATTCTTGTCTTATCTTGGCTTGAGTCTGATTCTAATCTCAGTATGGCTTTCATATGGTTTGATCCTATCTATGTAAGGATTTAATCTGAGTATCCAATCTCAAAAATCTGTCAAAACCAGCACACTTAACGTTATTTGAATAACAAATTCAAATCATTATCAATAACAATAAAGCACCTAATGATGCTACTTCAATAAAACAAATCCAAAGCTTGTTTGATAAACATTCAACAAATCCACATATTAGAGTCAGAGGTCTCAAAATTGCTTCATTAAAACTGAACTGGAGATGTAAAATTTTCCATAAATCGCATGCAAAGTAGCATGCAGCTACCGATAATTTCTAAATCAGTGAGCCTTGACAAGAGGAGATGAAACTATGATACAAATTTCGAATGCTGTTAATATTAATTAAGAAATGACTTTTTTTTCCTTGTGATTCAAATTAGTAAATTTTATTCATCATCATTAATTTCCTATAAACACCTAATTTTTCATCAGTGAATGCAAAATGTGCTCAAAAAAATTATTTATTCAAAACTATCGTCGGCACTTTTGTGTGCGAAATTTGCAAAAAAAAAGAAGGCGCGTCAAACATGTATAATTTAATTAACAGTCAGCATAAGATATCTTGAGATATTTATTAATAAACCAAAGTTGTTATTTTCTTAACTTACAACATTTTCTGGTTGATAACATAGCACTTTGTACCTATTTTACAATTTCTCGAATCCGAATGTTTAATAACACGTAAAATTCATTACAAAACAATGTAGATTTGATGCATGGTTGGATGTTCATTATTTTGTTACATGAAATATTTCAATTAGCAGTTCTACACCGATCTCAACTCGAAAGGGTTATAATTAGTTCAATTACTCTTGTTACACGCCTTCCAATTATTGATTTTGGGACTAAAAGGGAATCGTTTCTTAAGAGTGCATGACAAAATCAAATTAAAGTTTGTCCAAAGTGGTGTTTACTCGTTTTAGGTGGTCTGAATTTTTAATTTTTTTTAAGGGGACTAAAGTAGAAAGTGTGGATTTAAAATGGGTTAAAAAGATTAAATTCAACAATAAAAGTTGCGAATTTTAAATACGAGTCAAATGTAGAAATTTGTCTATACTAATATAAATTTAAGGTTTTTATTGAATAGGCTAAGCTCAATTGGAGACTTTAATTGAAAGCTCAAAAAAGTATAAAGAGAAAATATTGAGAGATAACGTTCAAAATATGTTGAAAAACCGCAAATATATTTGCTCCGTTTTTAATTTTACACTTAAAGTTTTAAATTGCAATTCACATCTTCAATTTGCAAAGAATATGTTGGGAACTTTTATTAATTGACAGTAAAAAGTAGCAAACAACTAATATTCCATTAAAATTGCATGATTTCAAGTTGTAAACTAGTAATTTTGTCAAATATTTCAAATTCTAGGGGATTGTCAACCTATAAGTAGGGAAAACAGACATTTTTCAAGAAAATAAAAGATTGTCCTTTGAAAACCCCAAAGTAAATCGTCTGCAAACCTTAAAGACACATAGTAAACAACTTTATCTTTCACAGATAACACAAATGAACTATTCTGAATATTTCTTCCGAAATCAGACCACACTACCGTGTTAATTTGCAATAGTAAACGCCACTTTGATTAAGTATTTATTCATCTTTTAATTAACGAGCACATTTTGTGACAGCTTTCGGTCAGTAAACATTTTTCACCTCTTCTCACTCTTTAATTATGCAAATTTTTACCAAAATTGATTTTTCTTTTAATTTTTGCTAATTATCAAAATTTATTTAAATTATAAAAACTTATTTCAACTTTTTTATGTTCGAAAATTTGCTTTTGAATTGAAATTCCATGAAATTAAAGTAAAAATTGTCACTGTTTATGAAAAGCTATATTTTTAATCAATCAAAGTAAATAACATAGGCCGTAGACATAAATAATGAAAATTAAGTAAGTGTTAATTAAAATTTAAGGAGTAAAAAAAGAATTCAATAAAAAGTAAGAAAATTGATTGTGATTTCACATGAAACTAAGAAAAAACAAGGTCTTTTTTTCATAAATATATTTAAGATAAACATCGGAAATTTCTACTTAAACATTGTAATTTCGAATGAGTCTCTTTAACCACAATAAAAAAGGGAACAATAAAAAATATAACTTTCAGAATTGTAAGCGCATTAAGAAAGGATTACAACAGATTGTTGATGTATTTTCTTCCAATGAATAAATCATTTGTTGAATGAAAATATTTTGTCCGTTCTCGAAATTGATCATAAAAAATATTTAATATTTATGCATTCATTCACCCTTTTTTGTTCGAATTTTTAAATTTTCTTCCAATGATAAATTTGAACTAGACACGCAAATTTTATTTTATATTTTAAAATAATACTTGAAAATCGCCCATTATTATTTTGATGTGGAAATAGCAGTAATCTGAAATCTAAAAGAAAATAAAGGATGTGTCGGTAGCAAGGAAAAGGAAATGAAAAGAAATTGGAAAAGTGCTTTATTAGATTAAATAGAAATTCATTCTAATTTTTTTTGTAAAGACGTTTAAATGATTTTGAATGGAATTAGCTTCATATTATGCGATTGGATTGATTTATTATCGAATTATTTGATTCAAATTAGAGATGGATAGGGTGCTTGTTGATGCTTTTAAGTGGTTTTAGGCTTGGGGGCCGTTCACTTATTACGTTTGCATTTTAGGGGGGAGGGGGGGTTTGAAAAATTGTAACAAAATGTAACATAGGGGGGGGGGGGGGGTGTCAAGAAGTATGTAACGTTCTTACTGTCGTCTGGGAACGTTCAGGGGGGGGATGTGAGTTGGGGGGGGGGTGAAAAAATTCTTTTTTTTCGTAACGTAATAAGTGAAAGGCCTCTTGGGGTCGTTTAGAAATTATCAAAATCAAATGTGGATTAATTGGTAAGACATTTGGCTGCCACTATAGTTAAACTATAACAAAAATCATAGGTTCGAGTCCTGAAATTTTCAAATTTTTAATTTTACGGAAGTTTACTTTGACTGTTTTATATATGAGATCAAGTTGAAATTGGAGCTCTGAACAACCTTAGATTAAGAAATTGATCAGTAAATTGAAGAATAACATTTATGTTCAAAACTAGATCATAAAGATAGCTTTATGAATGCAATATTAACAGAATAAAACTGAAAGAATCTAGTTATGAATAAAGAATATTAATCGCAACAATTAAAAACAGATTTCGACAATATCCAAAACTTTCTCTCTACCAAAATTCTAATCCCATCACGCAACGCCATCTACATCTCATAATCAACAACTAATAAATCCTGCTTCTAATATCAATGCCCTCACAAAATGCATGAAAAATTTCATTTTATTGCTCATAATTTTTATTTCGGCTGTTAATAATCAATAATGCAATTAAAATAGTCAACAGTCATAAAACTAGAGACTTCTTTTTAGTACTTGTTCTAAATAAACTGAAATCTATTCACGTTTTTTCATGTTGAATGAATGTACCTTGTAAATTTATAACCTTAGTATTGCAAATTTCCTCAAGACTATTTCTGTTTTTAGTGCAAAATAACAAGTGAAAAGCTATTTTCATAAAAATGGATTTTTTTTGCACCATGAATAAAAATTAAATGCCTTTAAAAAATGGATAATTGATTTTTCTAAATGGATAAAAAACATATGGAAGTTAGATTAAAAATATTTGAGGAAAAACATGATTATTTAAAACTATTTAAAGAATAAGTTTCATTTAAATAAATTAAATTTCAAAAGTTTTTAAAGTATTAATGTCTTTATAAATTCAAAATTCTTGAAAGTCGTTACTAATTCAAATTCTAGAACGTTGTTTAAAATTCAAATTCTTGAAAGCCTTTAAAAATTCAAATACTTGAAATTCGTTAAAAATATAAATTCTAGAAAGTCGTTAAGAAGTTAAATTCTAGTAAGTTTCTAATAATTTAAGCTCTACAAAGTCGTTAAGAAAAAAAAAAACCATGCGATTGAGTCAATTTATTCCTGATTTCAAAAGTCTTAAGGGTTCACTTAATAAATTACTGATCTTAGTTCAAAAATTAAATTAAAAATCATATAAAATTTACATTTACATTTTTCAAAAAATTTATTTCAACATTTCCATGAACGGCTCACATATCACGAATATCATTCAATATTAGCTCTGTACGTGGTTACAAAAAAAAAATCAATAAATTAAATAACGTTTAATTGTGGTAAGTGCACCGACAAACCTTTTCCCTGTTAGATTTCCAATCGAATATTCAATAATGAATTAAACATTCAACTTATTTACTCTTATTTTACATACTGAATCAAAAGAAATCGGAATTTAATTCATTTGATTGGAAAAATGCTACTTAATGCACAGCCATTTAATGACTTTTTATCAGACATAAATGTCTATTCATTTTAAATGAGAGCATAAACATGTACGATTGTATGTAGTAGCTAATGGAAACACAGTTAAAATAAGCAGGTGTTTTTATGATAAATAGTTGATTTTATAATTTTTAATTTTTTTTCTATTTGGTCTATACATATTCATGGCCACTTGATGAAAAGTGTTTTATTTGATAGCTGGCAGAGGTGGAAATCTGGGTTGATTTATGGTTTAAATTAATAAGTTTTGGGCCGTTTACTTATCATGTAATGCATTTAAGATGAAGAAGGGAGTTTTTGTGATTAGGAAGTGGACAAT